CCTAGCCCAATCCAACGCAACCCAATCCAAATCAACCCAAGCCAATCCAGAGCAACCCAATCCAAAGCAACCCAAACCAACGCAACCCAACCCAAATCAACCCAACCCAATCCAACCCAACCCAAAGCAACCCAACCCGAAACAACCCAGCCCAACTAAAGCAACTCAACCCAACCCAAAGCGACCCATCAAGCCCAATGCAACCCAACTAACCCATCCCACCTCACCCCAGCCACCTAGGGTGTGTGAAAAGAGGATGGTGCTATCCCATTCAGTGACACTTCACGAAGGGGCATTGGGGGAGGGAAGGCATGAATACTTTTGCAATGCTGGCATAGTGGCAGGCTTGGCAATGTCAACCAGCCGGCTGAGTCTGGCTTGCTCCTTCTTGAGCTCAATCAGTCTCAGCTTCAGTTTGGCCCTCCAGGTCTTGTCCAGTGTCTTGCCACCCTGAATACTCTCCATGAAGGCGTCCAGCGAGTCATCTTGTAGGACTGCAGAGGCACTGCCTGGGGGGAAAACAAGAAACAAAGATAACAATGATGCCAGTCAGTGAACAGAGAGTTCTTTGAGCAAATCTGCCTGAGAAGTTTGCCGCACTCACTGCTAACCATCTCTGTGAAATGAACACAGGCTTTTTGAACAAAAAAATTGTGGTCAGCATTTTCAAGGAGCTTGGCCCAGAGTTACTATTATAGATGTGCTGCTGCTGCATTAGGCTGACCAGAAATTCTTGGGTCAAGTGAAATCAGATAATCTGAATCGAGCGTGGTACTAACCAATTAAGTGGAGGAGCTCGTCCAATAAGCTAGCAATGTCATTTTGTAGATAAAATGTGGGATTAGGAGTACCGCAAAAAATCAACAAACATCCAAGGAGGGGTAATACAACAAATTCTCTCTCCAATGGATAGAATTCTGTGAATCTCGCTCTTATTTTCTTGTCTCGAGTGCTAAAATGTGACCTACCAACTTTTGAAATTTCTACAATCCATAATCTGGGGGGTGGGGGTTCAAAAATTCCAAAATCTGGGTGAAGCCTAAGATTTCACACCTCTGATAGACAAGTCTCCTTCCAAGCAATTCTACTTGTGTATACAAATACAGTAGCTGCCGGCAGCTTTCATACATATTTGTATTTAGTTTCAATCAGCCTTATTGAAAGCAAACTGGGCAAGATAAGCACACACCCAAACTCACTTTTACTTTGAGTGGACATTTCTTCCTCGATCTTCTGCATTTCAGTTTCCACATCTGAAAGGTGAGATTTCTGCAAGGCACAAAATCCTCTGTCATACCGATGTTAACGAACACCCACCGAAAAAAGAGATTTGCTTTAGTCACATTCCTAACCCAAGTTTGGATGGTCTCACTTAGACAATGACTACAGCGAGGTTAACTGATGTTATAAAAATTGATCCCTTGCTGGGACTCAAGGCTTTTACAAGTCTTGTTTCAATCACAATTTCTTGATCTAGCTTTCTCTTTTGAATAAAGAAAAGGCAAGTTAAATTCTCAAATCACTGGTCCAATCAACTCCACTAAGAATGACTCACCAAGCATTTTCATGCATTTCACATTATTGCATTGTCAAAAGGCAGTGTCGTTACACCCTTGGCATTCGAGTACGTCAAAATAAACAAATGGCAAGAACAAGCAAGCTACAGTACAGGTCAGAATTTTAGCCGACATGCTAACACGATCAGTGAACCTGACACGCTGTTCATTACACGCTTTGCGGTTTTTACCATGCATTGCTGGTCCAATGCATGATAAGCCTGACCCCGGACCTCAACATCTCGGCAGGGCTTGTGACCACAGACCGAAAAGGTGACTGACAACGTGTAGTAAAGCACTGCACACGCAGGGCCAGGGCCGCCGCTCCAGCTTCGTGTACGCGTGTACACTGTACACATACATTGTACATACATGTACATGTATACAAATGTATGTGTAGTACATGTACACCGTATGGCATGCAGTGCACTGAATAAGTGAAAATCACGTACATGTACATGTAGTGCCTGGCTGGCAAGATGATCGTCTTGAAGCATGCTTGAATTTGAAGATAACTTGAACTGCAATCAAACTGAACACTTTTTGTTGTGGGAAACTAGGAAAATGACTGTTCCGGTCAACAAAGGCCTGGCTGTTCTGGGGTTTGCGTGTATTGTGTGCATGTTTCAGATTGATTCAGATCAGATTGTGGTGTCGGCATTCTCTATTATGCAGGGGGTTAGTGTGTTTCGTGTTTGTGGTTAACTGCTTGCGTGTCTGACTCGATACAAACTGACACATTAAGCGTGTTGGCTAAAATTCTGACCTGTATTGTAAGTTGAATGGGCTGTCTCTCTTACCAGCGAGTCATAAGTCTGCGCTTTCTCCTTGATGATGCCAGCTTTCTTCATACGCTGTAATCGCTTCTTCTCAATCTCTCCCGTCCGATCCAGGAAGGTGTCCTCATCGCTGTCATAATAATCATCCTCCTTCCAGTTCTTGACTTTTCTCTTGTGGCTCTCTGCGAGACAAACCATCACTATTTATATTGAGCGTTTACCCCTTCGCAGAAATATTTTTGAAAACCCGGTACAAACGCTGGTGAAAAATTTTGGAAGCTTACAAGCCATGAAACTGAAATCAAACTGAGAGGAATACATTTCTTTAATCACTTGGCAGTGGCTGCTTGCATGTTCTTCGTTAAAGTAAAATATCTTGGTCATGTCCCCCCAATTAACTGATTTAGGTATCGGTATATTTAGACGTTTTTGCAAGGTATCTTTTCGCTGCGGCAGAGGTCTTGCAAGGCGAGTATATGGGCATGATTTTAATGAAGCCTGCTAGGGTGAATAATCCAGTTTGGGCTGAAGAGTATTTGGTCTGTGTACCAACACCGCCTCATATGCGAGCAATAGAGAGGCTGGGCAGACCGTCTGGATTTCAACTCCGTAATTGTTTGAAGTCACAATAATAATGCAGGGATTGGGAACAGTTAACTACCTGTTTTTGTGCTTTAAATAAATGTGGAAGACCAAGTGCTAGCCAGCAAAGTGTGCAGGTCAGCCAGAGGTGGTTGGTCCAAAAGCTCATCAGTTAGGTATGAGCTCATTGCTCAAGTCTGGAGTCAATTTGGAGTCTTTCTGTTTCTACCAGCCAGACTCCACTCCAAAATGTTGACTACAAGGTGGGTTGTTTACCATGTGTTGCTTGCCGTAGTACGCCGTGAGCATCTAGGATCCGACACGCCTCCAACGCACAGGCCACGACAGCCTCTTTCTTCTTACCCACGACTGCTGCCTCGGCAAAGATGGGCCTTCCACTGGCATCATCTAAGGGCAATCTGTCAGTATGGATGGAAATCCAATGGAATCACATGTGGAAGTCAAACTCCTACAGTGACAATGACTTCAACTCACTCTAAAATTAAATGATAGTGAAATGGCGAGACAATGGGCTCTCAATGGCCATCAAACGTGTGTTAACTTAATTTCACTTTTAAAGGAAGTCAGCGATGACATTGTATAAGTCACTCACTTGGATGAAATTGGAAAGGGTAAAAGACAGAAAGGATCAAAGGATCTTCCCAATGAGGGTGAGAATTTTCGGAATTGAACGAAGATCAACAACATGAAGGGAACCTTTCCCAATATAAGGAGTTCTACAACGATGCTACGAGCTATCATTGAGACACAAAGTGCGTGGGTGTGATGAGACATCATGCCAAACCTCCAACTTGCTTGAAGAGGATTTCACTGGCTTCCTCATAAGTACAGAATGGAACAAAAACTTGGATTTCTGCATGCTGTGTGCTGCACAGCTTTTGGCCAGGAGGCAGGCAAACACACACAATCTGTTACTTACTCCACTTTGCAGACAAATTGCTTGTTGAAACCACTTTCCTTTTCTTCCACGTTATACTCCAGATCATATCCTGCAAAAGGTGTGGGAAAATGTGACCTTCACTGCATTGTGTGTGTCACTCAAGATCTTGCTTATGCAGAAACTCTGAACTGCATCTAGATTTTGAAGTTTCTTTCACAATTAATATGTACACATAGCAGGGCAGCATGTTCCTACATGTATCAATGACCACTCTAATTTTTTTGTTCAATGACTCTGTTCAATACAACTCATCCAGGTGAATGCTCAAAGCAAGAAAATGAAACAAAAATGCTGAAGTTGGTGTTACTCCATAGGGCAACGTACAGATAAGAGACCAATCTCGATATGGTGCAACCCAACCAATTACGTCAACTGATATATCCAGCAATGTTTCAAGGAACATTCCAATGGCCCCTGGGGCCATTAAGAATGAATGTTAATTTTGTGTGAAGCGACTGTCGCGGACAGTAACTCTGCACAAAAGTTATCATAATGCTGGCCCCACTGGTGGGGGGGGCCACTGCAGATGAACAGCGATCACGTCACCATGGTCAATCATCCGCTTTGTCTATAGTTCCTAACTAAATGACATCAACACCACCAACCCTCTCTCTCGAAGTAGCCTCGGAGTGCCTTCTTGGGGTCTTTGATGTAAGTTGCTTCCTTCTCTTCTTGGGTCATGATGGCAAATGGGTTGTCGCCTCTTGTGTCTTCCTCCTGAGCATCCTCGTAATCTAAAAGAGTCAAAGGTCTGGTTGGTGTACTGTAAGACACTGCCGGGGGGGGGGGGATTGCAACCCTTGTGCCTACAGCTCCTACTCCAATGTAGACAAGACGAAGATAGGTAAACACAGTGCTAAAATAAAAACAATTGATCAAGCAATGAAAGATGCAGTAAATGAACAGAAGAGATTGGAGTTTCAACAGCCACTCTAGGCAAAATTGTAGTTTGACATTTGCTTTATGAACATAGAGGTGCACTGTTTAAGTCTTAGAGGTGAACTACGTGAACACCACATCTAAATGTACATGTACATGTATTTACATTGATAATGCCAGTTTACTGTGTGTCCATATACATGTACTCGGAAAGCATGTGCAGTGTTAATTTTACATCCGAAAATGGTTACTGTTAACATTTCTTCACATTTCTCTCGTCAATTTTGGTAAATTAATATAAGATTCCCAAATACGACTCAGCCAAACTTTCAAATCTTGATCAAAAGGAGGGTTGAATATTCAAATCTATAACTACTCAATTTGACTCAGCCTTTACCCATCCCCCAGCTGATGCCTTCATCTCTCTCCTTTTCCTCTCTCCTCTCATTGGCTGCTTGCTCCTGAGTTGCCCTCCTCCTGTCTTCCAGCTCGGCCAGCTGTTTTTGTCGCAGCTCTTTGAGTTCTGTCACACTCAGTTCAGATTCTGCATCCTGGTCTTCTGCTGGCCCCTGCAGAATATACATGCGGGAGCTTCCGCCCAACTTAAACATGTGCCCCACCCTCATTCGGTAGAACACCCTTCCTTCCATCTTCTGCTTGTTGAACCAAGAACCATGCGTGCTTCCAAGGTCGTACAGATAGAAACCAGGATCATGCTCGCTGTCCCCCATCAGACGATACTGCAGCACAAGGTGATAGCGAGATAGAGAAGGGTGCTCTAGGGGGATATCACAAATCTCCAATCTCCCAAAGACATGGTAGGCTTTGTCGTTCAGTGGTATCTTTGCAATGATAGCCCCACTCTTCAGTACTTCAAGGTGATACGGTTCGTTGGGAACACCACTCCAGGAGGGCTCTATGTAAGGCAAGGGCGGAGCTTTGGCAAGCTTCTCAGCAGGTGACTTCTCCCTGGACTTCTTGACTGTGCTAGCCGGTAACAGTGGTTGCTCTTGTGGACTTGACTGTTCTGCCCCAGGAATTGGTCCTGACATTTGTGGATCTTTCTTGTGTTTTGGAATGTTGGACTGTTTTGGCTTTGGAAAGTTGAACTCCTCACTGTAAGGTTGGAAAGCATGGTCAGTTTTATCCTTTGACTCATCAGGCTTTACATTATTAGTTCTGTTTTCTAATGTAGCTGAGGCAGGTGAATGGAACTTTTTGGGACCAGCATGACCAGTCTTGGTTGGAAGTGGAAGTCCGGGTAGCTTAAATCCCCCTTCATCTTGTTTAGACATGTTAGACTCACTCACTTCATGAGACCTTTCTATAGTGGCTTTTTCACCCCCAAATCCACCCGAATTTTCGGTTGGGCATCTTGTTTCTGATCCCGGGCTCCTCTGCCTCTGGTCCAACGATGGCATGTTCGGCAAAGACGAAATGTCCACGGCGGCACATTCCTTGGATATGTTGGCATGGTTGGGGTCGGTTGATTCGGATTCTCTTTCCATTTCTGTGACTGGATCACTTCACTGCTATCAGTAAAATAACTTCTTGATTTTATCGTGTTCATAAACGTGTAACGCGAATTCCAGAAGACGCTGCCGCTTGATTTAGGCCTATCGATTTATTTTCTGTCGATGCTCTGATGGTGGCTGCCATTTTGTTTATGCTCCTTGCCAAAATATGAGGGCGGTATTTCATTCGCTTGGTCGGGTGGGTTTGGGTAGGCGTGTCCGTGTGGATTCGCATTGGGGTATACCTGAATATTCTCGAGTCTCCCTCCCCGCCATCACGAACACTACGCAGCTAAAGTACGTTTGATGCCCTGACTTACCCCATCCCCTTACCATCTCAGGCTAACTTGCTTGAGTATATGTAGTAGAAATTTCCCTGATCATAAATTTTCATTCAGTGACCCACAACATGGTTCCAAATTATAATAAACAGGAGTTTTTGAGATTTCGATGTGCACAGTATCACTTTTCAACTTCTATTACTTGCTGACTTACTTGGAACCTTATACTAAAGAAGAAAAAGGTGTATTTCAGAATTGAGGCCACTAATCCTTCGGCCTTTTGGATAAAATTTTAGGACAAAATGCAGACGAACTTAAGAGCTGGCTAGCATGAAGATTCGTGTGCACTAAAACTCAGTCTAAGTAAACGAAGAGGAAATCAGATGACTGATTGGTCACCAGTGGACTACCTCAGAAATGAGAAGTTCTGTGACACGATACGACAGTCTTAGGTCTATTTTTTATTTTCACTTGGTGAGCAGTACACAACTTTGTGACAATACGTATTATTTCAAATAGTACATAATATAAAGTGATTAAAAAAATCAACTTCAACTCAAACTCCAGTCCATAATTCGCATGTAGGTTTAGTAAGAGGAATGAACCTCGCTTTATACAATAGCGGGCTTTAATATTTACACTGTTTAGTTGGTAGCGCTGATAGTTCGGTTTTTTGTTCACTGAAGTCAAAACATTGCAAGCTTACAAAGATAAAATTCAATGCAATTTCCTGCACATTTTGGATGCCTGGAATGACTGAATATGCATTTAATAGTACCAAAATTGTAAACCCCAACCACGATTCGTCTTGAAATCCTTCTGATCATCTCAATTCATATCACACTCACTAGCCCAAACGATTACTTCATCCAAGAAAAAAATGTAACACTGATGCAAGACTCTTCTACATTAATCCAAACCTGAATTTATAATGTAGTTTGAACTGCTAACAATAATGAAATCTTAGATGTACATTTAGAGTTTATTTTTCAACCCACTTCAAAGGTACGTCGGTTCCAACGGTCACAGGACGTAGCTGTATACACACGCACATAACTTGGTGATCGAGTTTCTGAATTTCCTACCTAATATATCTTTTATATGAAGGTGAAATTTCGTTATTTTGAAACTGCCCCTCGGATGCATATAAATAGGTGCGTGGTCACCTGGGGGGGGCACTCCCCATTTAAGAAAAAGAAAAATAAATAACGGGGGGAAAAAACGAGAAAACGAGGGAAGGGGGGGACCAATTTGCTTGAAAATACCTCGGCCGGATCAACCTCCTTCCACCGCATGTCGGCTTGCTGGGATTGAGTGTTTGCCCCTCCCCGTGCAGAGGAAAAATTCTTGCAACGCCTATTATGGGTGATATGCAACATCTTGACGTTGTTTTTCTTGTCAGTAGTGAATAAAGTATACTGTTCTACAGCTGTGCTTGAAACCTATTTTTCTTATCAACCCCCAACTATTTTTGTCATTTTTCATAATAATCACCTCCACCGCCGTCCCTATGCATTGCCACCATTATGAACACCCTCCTCATCATCAACGCCAGCCGCCCGATCTCTGCCGCCTTCGTCGCCCGCATCTTGCTCGTCATCGCTACCGGGGCTGGCGTCACTGAAGTCCCCATTGCCGTGTTCAATGCCTTGCTCAGAGCCACCACTATGCACATCATCGTTTCTGTCCTTTTCCTCTCCGTCAGAGAAGTCCACCAGAAACACAAACACGTTTTTATTACCGCTTTGTCCAAAAGAGCTATCCGAACCAACCGTACTACTCGTATTTTGGTTGATGCATTTTTCTGGAGACGGTTCGTTATTTACATCGTCTTGATGATCTGAAATACGACGGTGATTGAGAAAGACAGAATTGTCATCAACCACGTTGCATGGCCATTCCGTTTGGACACTGACGTGTTTTCTGTGTCTCAAATGTTGCCTGTCTTCGCCTGAGCCATAAAAGAAACGCGAGGTGACCCATAAGGATGGAGTCTTATCAAGGTCATCGATAAGGATTGGCTCGTCAGTACGGCCTACTGTCGCGTCTCTGAGGTCCGTACTTTCAGATCTGCTAAGTTTGGCTCCCACCCTGCGATCTCTCGCCTTCCGCTTCTCCCGGTACTCGTGCAGGATGACCGCCAATCGGTACAGCTGCAGCACAGTCAGCAGGGCGTTCTTGGAGGTGAAAAACAGAAACGGGATGGAGAGGGGGACCCTGGGGCTTATAATGAGATACAGACGGCTGGCAAGGAACGGCAGGTCCTGCATCATCAAGGTGACCAGAATAGCCCAGGTCTCGGTACCGCAAAAGAAGTGGCAGTGGTCCGACTCCCCGTCCCGTTGCACCCGAATGAGCGGCTTCTTTCGGTGCTCAGCGGCCAGAGGCCTGACCCCTGCTACCCTCGTCTTTCTGCCTTTGGTGAGAGTAAGGCTGAGGGTGAACTGCGGTAGACTCCATGTCCACACGGACAACAAGATCAGCACGTGTACGTCGTTGTCGTAAATCTCGTCCACCTTCAGTCCCTCCCCAACGAACTCTAAGATGTCGGCCGCCATGCCAACCTGGACCAGTAGCAGCTGGGAGAGCTGGTCACGTGATAGTTCCCCCTTCGGCAGAAGCCATCTCCCAAGGATAAGAGAAAATAAAAGCATCTGGTGTAGAGCCAACGCCCAGTCTGGCAGTATCATTGCGACAAACGGCACCTGTTTTGGAGGAATATTTCGATATTTTGAAAACCAGGATCAGGATACGTCACAAAGTCTTTCTTACTATCAGCATCCTTTCGTACAAAACAATAAACACATTGGGACTGCTGCACTAACAGCAAAAGATATATATCTCTCTGTCTTTTCGTTTTTCACCCAGGGTGTGTCTATGCATAAGATAGAAGTCGGTTCCCACCACTGGTGGATCGATGTGTGTGGGAGGAAGGGACCGTAGCCCTCTTCTAAAAAAGAAAAAAAATTATTTTGAAAATTAACGTAGATTTTTGGACTATCCCACTTCATACCGAAAGCGTGTTAAAGTCCTTAAATGCGATCCGTCCATCAAAAAGGTCATAAAAGATTACAAAATTCCAAACTATCCCCCTTAAAATTTAAGAAAAAACCTCTGGTGGATGCTCCCCCGGAAAGTTTGGTTCTGTCATTCTCTCGCAATTCAAGTGGCGTCGTTCATGAAGGAAAACGAAGCAAGGAAGATAGACCTAACCTTTCCCGCGTTAGCAATACCAATTTCCTATGCCACTGGAGCGAAAGTGGTGTCAAAACTTACCTCATGCCCGAAGATGGGCGGCAGTGAGGTTTTGTTGAAATAGCTGTCATCACAAGGTGATGGGTTCCGGTCATCGTTGAGGTTTATTTTCCCACAGCCACGGCGCTGCTTGTACACGTCCCACTCGATCATCCAGAGGCACGGTACGGTGCACATGAGCATCAAGGCAATGGTGGGCGAGAACCTGAAACAGACACACTCGTTCCGCTAGTATAAGTCAATCGACTCCTTGCGGATAAAGTCAGGTAGTAAAAAACAGTTGAAGCCTGAGACGGAGCCGAAGTCGAGTATTGGGAAACGGCTTTGTATTCATGAAAATGAAAAGGTACCATTTTCTATTTCATCGAAAAAAAAAATACTTGGTTGACATGTCAAAAATTGAGAATCAAAATCAGTAATATAAAAAAATAAATAAACAACCCAATTTGTTTTGTTTTGTTCTTTAGTTTACTTTACTACTATCTCTATATACTTTCCATCTCATTTTACAATCTTCAAATTTTACACTCGCAAAATTTTAAAATCTTAAAATCTCCACGACATTTTCGAAAACAATCACAAACTATCAAACATTTGGATATTAGAAAATGCTAAGCAATGAAAACTTCGCTCACCACTTCCAAGAGCCGTGTCGGCGCCTTCCATGAACATAAGAAGTAGAAACACCACCCATGCTATCCAGAGTCTCCCGTCCTTGTCGCTGATCAACCAGACGCTCAAACCAGCCACAAGAGAGAACAGGATACGGACCAGAGTCCCGTTGATCACCATGCAGCATCGTCCCATCTTTTATGCGGTGTAATATGAGTACAGGCGTGGAGACTTAAAACGAAGCAAGTGCCTTTGAAAAGCCAGCTTTGATTGCAAAAACTGTGCTTAGCAATTAAACCCTTTTCTGAACACCACGCTATTAACACATGTTCAGGGTGTTAATGGATAGTTATGGGCCAAGTTGAACAACGGCGTTTAGGAACTAGATGTGCAATGTTATCTAGGCGTGATTTAAAATTGATAGAAGAATTGAATTTAAATTTTTGTTTAGCTTAATTTGGTTTGGTTCGCTTTGCACTTGGTCAATCAAATTCAGTTCTCCCCGGCCAAAATTGATTTTGTCCACACTAACGCTGTCCACAGAAGATCACGTTGAATTATTACCTCGGGATCAGTCTCTTTTCGATCCGGCTCAGCACACTGCGTAAGCATGTAAAGACAGGATTCTTGTGTTGATTACTGGACTCACTGTAGTTTTTGGTCTTTCCGAAGATGTGGAGTTCACAGAGTTATTTTACGATCTGTGCCTCACTGGTTAGCGTACGGCAAGATCTATTCCGCAGTGTCGAGTCGACATGCAGAGATTTGAGTCCGTGCTTCCTGATACCATTTCTACCTGAAGTGCGTAGACACGGCAGACCATTAATTAGAAGGGCTGCTGCACTCTAACGAATATGGATCGACCAGGCGGCGACTTTATTAAGAGACATGCCTGCAATTAATTATGTCATCTTGCTAATAGCATCTGAGGCTAATCACCCTGCGCATCTTATCTTCATAGAGAAAGCCCGAACACGGCTCATCTTGTTCATCCTGCTACGCTGAACAACATCTTCGAGATATCAGATTAAGGACAGAGGAATGACATCCTCAACTTCTAGACCTTTTCAGTAAAAAAGCTGCCTATTGGGAAGAATGATAAAGAGCATTGCGCGCGATTTATTTGCCAAGGCTTATTATTTGACAGATGCATCTGGCATAGCGAACTTTAACGTAGGACTATGCTTCAGGGGACTGGGCGAGCATATTAAGGACCATTACAATGGATGGATCAAATCCAACGGATATTTACTCAGTGATACTGACTGCACGCGAGGGTCTATTAGTATAGTTCAATTTATCATCCTTGAATGAAGCTATTGGTGCATGCGGGTTAGTGGAATCGAGAAAACAACGTGTTCGGGTCCTGTTTGTTATAACGACGGGAGAAGGGAAATTCGACGGTAGTCATTTAGCTAATAGAAGGCAAGAGTCAATTAACAAATCAGTGGATCATGCATGAAAACGTTCAGTATTAAAGAAAAAAGCAGTCCTTTTTGAAGATTACTTAACGAGTAAGGTGATCTGTCACTTTCGAGGAAACCTGCAAAACAGGTTTGCAGACGGTTTTCAAAAAGGAGGACGAAAACATGGAACCAGTGAGCCTATATTACAGGCACGGATCCGGAGAAGGATCGAACCCCCCTCCCGTTCTGAGACCCCCCCCCCAATAAATAAAGGGGGCGGAGATAAAAAAAAGGGGGAAACATAAAGGATAACTAAAGTAAGTGCACCAATACCACCGTAATCAGCATTATAATAATGTTTCATCATCGTTTCCGCTTGTCCGCAAAAATGAGACATTAAAAAAACTTCCCCGGCCTGACCCCTTGGAAAAATTCCTGAATCCACTCCTGTATTTTAACTAAAAATGCATGTACTTAAAAGAAGCAAATAATATTAATATTACCAGAAAGTATTTTAATATTTAGGCCCTACAAGCTCGATTCAGGGAGGTTTTATCAGTACGTTTGGAGCCTCCATTTCTCTTGTCCCCAAAATTCGTAATGCCATTTCCCCTTCAGTATAGGCTTTTTTTCTTTTCATCATCTAGATACAACCCAAGAAACGTATGAGTTTCTTTTATGTATGAAATAATTTAAATATCAAACATCTCAGGTGTCCAACGTTGTTGGCTGGGGCCCCCACCGATATGCGTACAAGGGAAATAACTGCGACCGTTTACGCTACTGGTTTCCATGGACACCCCTATTAATTAAAACAGTAATACGGGCGATTCACAAAAGTGCGACACCAAGAGTTTGCAACGCGTTGGCCAATCATAACGCGCGAAATTTGTCGACCCTTTCCAAACGCCCATTGGGTCGACAGATTTCGCGCGTTGTGATTGGTCAACGCGTTGCAAACTCTTGGTGGCGAACTTTTGTGAAAAGGCCTTATTGTGGACGTGGGCATGACTTTCTAACTTTTACCATACACCGTTATTTTTGCGCGTTACCTTGGTTGCGTCAAGATGTCCGCCTGCAAACAGACTTGGCCCTATACAGCCAGCAAGCGCTCGATGTTTACTAAGGATCAATCAGGCTACTCATTATAATGTCGTTTATTTCCCTTGACAGTCATTCAAACCCTGTAGGCTTATTTGCCCGTGGAAAAACACTCTGACTGGGACTGGTGCGTAATGAGAAAATTCTCCGTTGATTTACTAATTAAAAATGTAGCTGTCCATTGTCCTGCGGTACAAGTATCGTACGTTAAATGTTACTTCAACCTGTCCAGTCCTCCATGTTTATTACTCCGGGGCATGCACAAGGGAAGAAAAAAGAAGACTTTGAAACAAATGAGGGCCCAAGGATGCACTTTCTCAGGAGACAACTTAATCGAAATTCTGCTTCATTGTGTGACTATATTTGCATTTCCCAGCATTAGCGTTAGGAAGCACGGGCATTAAAAATATTTAAAGGGGTGAAACATTGTCTCAGGTTGCACCACGGGGCATCGAGAAAAAAGGAAGAAGCCCAAATTATCCGGGATCCTTAAGTGGGTTCCAGACCCGGTGCCGTCAGGTCTATGTGCTTCGCATTATTTTTAATCAGGGTTACCCCCCCCCCCTTTTAAGAACGATTAGCATTATGGTACAAACGGTGAACATCAATTGGCCATAACCAGACCTAAATGGATCTTAACCAAAGGCGTATGGGCCAAGGGGGTAAGTTCCCCCACCCCAGACTAGTTAACAATTTTTAAAAATAGTTATAGGATCTAAAGACGCCAGCCTTCTACAGTGGGTGTCTGCTTGGGTGCTAGTAGTGGGCGCCAGATGTCGCTGAGGTTGAAACTGGTGTCATGGGGTACGGTGTTGTGACGGAAAATCTCAATAGCTTCTCGGATTCTCCTTGGGAGCCAGTTCTGGATGGGAGCAGTGAGTTCTGCTTTGTCCCACTCGACGCGCTGGTCCTGGAGTGTGCATGTTTGATGATGGCAGACTTGTATTCTTCTCGTCAGCCGTGCGAGTAGTGTTCTTGGAGTCTGGTGGGGAGGTTCCTTCCAGTTTCCCCGATGTATACTTGGCCGCATTCAAATGGAATGCGATATACACTGGGGCGACTACTGGGTGGGTGCTTGTCCTTGTGGTGTGAAGTGCAGCCTGCAGCTTGTTGGGTGCTGAATGATGTACTTTGATGTTGGCCGACTGCAGGATGCTCCGGAGTTGGTGGGAGGTGGGGCCCAGATACTGTAGGCATACTGTGGCAGTGGGGGTTTGGGGGACTTCGGGTATAGGTGACCCTAACGACCTGGGGGAGGGCTTGGAAAGGTTGATACGTTGGTTGCGGTAGCCGTTCATCTTGAGGGCAGACTTGATGTGGTAGAGTTCTTGGCGTAGTTTGTTCTGGTCGCAGATCTCATAGGCTCTGTTGACCAGGGTGTGGTTGACTGATGTTTTGACTGCTGGGTGGTGGAAAGATCTCTGGTGCAGGTACCGGTCGGTGTGGGTGGGCATGTGGTGGACACGGTGGTTGAGGGTGCCGTCTGGGTTTCTAGACAGGTGAACATCTAAGAAGGAGAGGTGTCCGTCTTGTTCTTGTTCCATAGTGAACTTGACAGTGGGGTGTTGCTTGTTGAGGTACTCCAGGAATTCTTGGAGGTGATCTTGATCATGGGGCCATATGACGAATGTGTCGTCAACATAGCGCAGCCGAAGGTGGGTTTGAGGTCGGCGGCGAGGAGAGATGATGTTTCAATTCGTCCATGAAGATGTTAGCTAGGGCCGGGGATATACAGGGGATTCCATGGAGGTCCCAGCTATCTGGCCATAGAACTGATCTTGGAACTTGAAGTAGCTGAAAGAAACGCAGAGGCGGATGAGGTCAGCGATCTGGGCGGAGGAGAGGGCTGAGCTGTCAGCGAGGGAGGGGTCGCTGTCTGGTGGATCCTTGGCAATCTGGCATGCTTCTTTGGTGGGAAAATTGGTGAAAAGCGACACCACGTCGAAGCTCACCATGCTGTCTGTTGGCTGGGGTCAGAGGTTTCTCGTGAGCTAACTGGGTGGAGTTGGAGATATGGTGTGGTGTGTTGCCGACCACGGGCTGGAGGATGCCGGTCAGGAAGTGGGCGGTCTTGTACGTCGGTGAGCCCTTGAAGACACAATGGGGTACAGGGGGATGTCCCGCTTGTGGATCTTGGGTTGACCAAAGAATCTTTGACAGGTAGACACCGACGGGCGGAGGCGACGGTACAGGTCTGCTGGGATGGAGTCGGCGCGTTGGAGGGCGAGGAGGTGGTTGGCGATGCGTTTCTCGATGGCTTGAGTGGGTAGGGGGCGATAGGTGCCGGATGTGAGGATGTCTTGTACTTTGTTGGAGTAAGCCACACGGTCCATGACCACGGTGGCGTTGCCCTTGTCGGCCGTGATGATGTGTATGGACTTGTTGCTGCGGAAATCACGAAGGGCTTCAACTTCGGTCTGGTGAGGTTTGTTGTGTAGGAGCGCTTTGTGGATCTTGGCTCGGATGTTATCGGCTGTAGTCTTGTCAAGCTTCCGTATGGCAGGTTCCGTGGCTTGGATGCTGTCGGCTAGGGCTGGAGGACTGGGTGGAAGACGAGATCTTGACGATGGCTGGTGTAGGGTCGACTTGAGGGCGGCTTCAGTGGCAGTGATATCCTTGTCCAGGTGGCTGAGGGTGCGTCTTGTGTGTTGGATGCATTCTCTTAGAAGGGCTCGGCTGGCTGGCTGTAAGATGCGGAGGGAATGGTTGCTGCAAACGGGATCGTGGAGCTTGAGACCTCGTGGAGTGATGTGCGAGTCTCGGCAGCATTTGAGGAAAGTTAGGTTGTTGATGTACCTTGTGCGTCGGATGGAATTACGCTCATAGGTCCTAACTCGTCGAACTGTAGGCTCTCCGTAGAGCAAAGATAAGTAAGATTTGAAACTTTGCATGGTGGAAGAGTTATGAGAAATGGGTTTGCGGGTACACCATGCAATCAATTTCTTTTGGGCGAGGTGTGGTTCTTAAAAGAACCGGTGAGTGTTAACTCGACGTTTTGGCCAGTGTGCTCTGACCGTCCTTACATTCATGTATAAAGTTACTTTTTCCCTCTTTCCTAAATATTATCCAGTTTCATAACTTTTTGCAAAGGTTTGTCCATTTTCTTTCTCAATATTAGTTTTCTTAATCACTAAAGTTTTCCTAATTTTGTCTAGCTTTTATGCCTAGAAAACACACTCTAAGCTTATATCATCTTTTTAGATCTATACTTCTTTGATGTTCTCATAATTTCTTACCTTTCTTACTCTTTTTAGTCGAAGAATGTTAGTGATGTATAAGTATTTCCATCCATTTGCCTCAGAGCATGCCTTTTTTGTCTTCTCTTCCTTAGTTGATTCTTTATTTGGACTTGCTGAGATGATTTGAATACTTAATGAGCCCTACAGGCCTGTACACAATTTTAGTTTTATGACGTTAAGCCTTGCTCTCCTTCCTGTACTATGTAGTCCATGCACAAGAGATTTTGTTTTTCTTACATGTATGTTCTTTACTTCTCTCGTTTTTTACAGATAGTATAAACTCATTTTACACACTGTGTTAGGTTTTGGTTTTTAGTCTTTTTAAATCTTTAGTCTTTTGGTTTTAGTCCTTTCAAAGTTCTAATCCTAAGTCCTTTTGGGTTTTTGGTACTATTTCATGAACAATTCTTTTGTGTCCTTGTGTAGAAGTCAAATATTGGTGTCTGAGTCCATATTACTTCAGTTTCCTGCGACTTTTCCCTAAAAGATCCTTGGTTTAGTTAGAGCTTTTGTTGTTTTGCGAGTTCCCCATAGTGTGCCATTTTCCCTGTTACATGTACATAGGTGTGAGTTCTGCAGGGTACAGCAAGTGTGATTGAAACATAGAGCCACATCAGTGTGTTTGCCTTCTATCCATTCTGTATGTGAGGGTATAACGACACCATCACTTAACTTTCTTCTTGTCATATGCCATGTCAATTTTGGATGGTGCCCACTATGTATTTGCTTTCTAGTTTGCATGTGCAGGGTACCACCCACAGCACTGCTAAACATTTTTGCAGTCAAATTCTACCTTTGCTTTTGTAGTTCCTTGATGGTACTGTCTATTGCAATTCATCTTAATATTTTTTTCTTTTAATCTGAACTACTTTATTTATTACAGGCACAAAAAGTAGGAGTAGTGTGAGTTTGATGCAGAGATGAACAAAATGATGAGTTGAAGGCCTTCCCCATTCTCAAGATGACTAGACTTCTCATACCCCATGAAGAGAAGTATTACCAGTTGGTTTCAATGCACCAAGTGAGTGCCTGTAGAGAATTGCGACACTGTTCCACAT